AGATTTTCGAGTCAAACTCGTACCCAAAATGCACCCATTTTGACGCCAGAGAAAGCCAAGAGGTCGGCGACCGCCAGCGCCCGCCATACCTCCTATCGTCAGCCACGGATGGAGCCTAACATAAATACGAGAGTAGGAAATTCCCTTCTTTCAACTGTATAACTTCTGACAAGGAGGTAAGATTTACAAGACTTATATAGGAACAGAACTGACTAATGCTGTAGACCAGCAGGCCAGCAAATGCACTGCCTCGTTTTTAATGCGAGCGAGGTCGCGCGCGGCGTTTGCGCGACTCAGGTACGAGTTCTTGAAAATGCATCTATCATTAAAACTAATTTCAGATTGTGATTTCTCTTAATAGTTTGTAAACTATAATAACTCTAGTTCTAAAATATTAGAGTTGCTTAATTCTGAAAGTTTAATGTGTAGAACCTGTGCCTTTCGTTGTGCATGTTCGTCGTGCTCTCCTCTCAACAAGTTCACGAATCCTAATTTCTTTTAGAAATGCTGTGCCGGACTGGCACAGCCTCCATAGTGAGACGGCAATCCACTCTAGCAGATAAACTTCGTGCAGTTGTATCTGGAGATGCCGATAAGAAGTCACACCCAGATCGAGCTCATAATGTCGAGTTGGACACCCAAGTATGTTTTCCTTTCTCCGATTTTTCTTACTGGTTTGATTGGGATAATATGACCATTTCCAGAGTCCCAAGTTCAATGAAATGTTTGTAATGCCTAAACGCAAACTGCGAGGACAACTATTGGTTAGTCGCTCTATTGCCTTCTCTATGGAGTCCCTTATTAAGTCCTTTACCTTTTTATGAGTGTGTTTTTACCGCGATAGCAGTTAACTTGCCTCCATGGCTCGGTTGCAGTCTTGAGTAGTCGCCATTCTATTTGTTCTTTTTTATTCTCATTGATTCAAGAAGAAGAGCTTTTTCATTGAACGATTTTTTAAAATGAATTTGTGTTGGCGCAATAATCAAGCATACGATTATGTTTATATTCAGATAGAACGAGCGACTGGGCGAGCCACTTATGTTCAGAGCAGTCGACCAGATATTCATGATCGTTTGTCTGTTCGAAGGCCTAGAAGCGAAGAAATGAGCACAGATCAGGTTAGAACTTCTGCAGAACTTTAAATCTTTATTCTTCTTCCCTAAGCAGTATATTTATAGGACTGGACAGCAGTCTGGCCAGCAGCAAGATCTTTTGCCTCTTCTGTCGTGCCTCTCCCTGTTAGAATGGGCACACGTCCAGACCCGGAAAAGCGAGCCCCTTTCAAGAAGCAGGTGAATTACCCCTCTTAATTCTCCGCACGTCGCGATAAATGCCGCAAAACTCTCATTTCTATCTTACTCGAATTTCCCTCGTAAGGGTTTATTTCTAATCATATAGGTTGAACTCCTTCCATATACACAAGTTATGTTATAACCACGAAATCTCCAAAAGACCTATATAGGAGAGTTGTTTATTTACCAGGATATCTATCTTAGGGTTTCGAACATCTATTGTTATGATAATCTGCGTAGATCGTTGACTACGACGTTGACGCAGTCTTCATGGATATCCGTTTGTGGCTGTTAGACTCGCATTGGTACTTGAGTGAAATTGTTATCTGAAATATTTTTGATAATCGACACAGTTTTTCCGAAATATGCTTTTCGTAAGTGCGCACTTTTTCGCTGTGATGTAAATTATGGAAATTCAAAATATAACGCACATTGTTCTCATTAGGCTTCACACATGGTCATAGAAGCAACTACGCTCTAATTCGCCTTAGGAACCTGCTTTCAGTTACTTGAAAACGGGAATTTTGCTTTACTCTTCTGCATTTTTCCCTTAACCTTTATTTTATTTTAGGGCAATCTGGAACTTGTAAAGATCCCAAATTTTCTTCATTTGACGCCGGCTGCCATTGAGAAACATTGTAATGCTATTAAAAGTTGGTCTTTTTTCCAATATATATATATATATATATATATCTTTGAAAATTGTTCAACTCTGCTTTACAGAGTTCTGCACTGAATTTCCGCAGGAGCTCGTTGAGGATAAAAAGTTGGCAGAATCTGAGTTTCCAATGAAAATAAGCTACAACACCTATGTTCATCAAGGAACAAATATTAGAGATAACCGAGCTCGAGTGATCACATTACAGGTAGATTAGTTGGGATTATATCCGTTGTGTTTTGAATTGGTATTATCAGCTTTTTCTTTTTTTGAAGGTAAAACTCTCAGCACTCTCATTGTCTCCCCATGCAAAAGATAAGCTTATTCGTCTTGCTGGCGACCGTTATGATGAGAAAACAAATACATTGACTGTCATCACCGACAGGTGCGTTAGCTATTCACTAGTTTCCCTTTAGTTACTTTTTTACTACCAACTTCAGGTGCATCACCCGGAAACAAAACCTAGACTATGCTTTTTATTTATTGACTGCCATTTATCACGAAGCTTGTGTGAGTCCTCTTTCTCGTACTGCTTATTCTCTTTTTTTTTT